CCCAATGGGGTCACCAGGACGAATAGAGAAGGTGAATCTCCCCAATGGGGTCACCAGGAGGAACAGAGAAGGTGAATCTCCCCAATGGGGTCACAAGGACGAATAGAGAAGGGGAATCTCCCGAATGGGGTCACCAGGACGAATAGAGAAGGTGAATCTCCCCAATGGGGTCACCAGGACAAATAGAGAAGTTGAATCTCCCCAATGGGGTCACCAGGAGGAACAGAGAAGGTGAATCTCCCCAATGGGGTCACAAGGACGAATAGAGAAGGTGAATCTCCCCAATGGGGTCACAAGGACGAATAGAGAAGGTGAATCTCCCCAATGGGGTCACGAGGAGGAATAGAGAAGGTGAATCTCCCCAATGGGGTCACTAGGAGGAACAGAGAAGGGGAATCGCCCCAATCGGGGTGAATCTCCCCAATGGGGTCACCAGGAGGAACAGAGAAGGTGAATCTCCCCAATGGGGTCACAAGGACGAATAGAGAAGGGGAATCTCCCGAATGGGGTCACCAGGACGAATAGAGAAGGTGAATCTCCCCAATGGGGTCACCAGGACAAATAGAGAAGTTGAATCTCCCCAATGGGGTCACCAGGAGGAACAGAGAAGGTGAATCTCCCCAATGGGGTCACAAGGACGAATAGAGAAGGTGAATCTCCCCAATGGGGTCACAAGGACGAATAGAGAAGGTGAATCTCCCCAATGGGGTCACGAGGAGGAATAGAGAAGGTGAATCTCCCCAATGGGGTCACTAGGAGGAACAGAGAAGGTGAATCTCCCCAATAGGGTCACCAGGAGGAACAGAGAAGGTGAATCTCCCCAATGGGGTCACCAGGAGGAACAGAGAAGGTGAATCTCCACAGTGGGGTCACAGACACTGAGTTCGAATCCTAAAACGAAAACTTTGGGATTTTGCTTCACTTGAACGGTGAGCGATTGTACGGGGTTTCCGGAGAGCTGCAGGATAGGTGGGGGGGCGGGTTGGAATTCCGGGAATGTGCTCGGGATTAACCCCTTCAAAGCCGGCACAGCTGCACCTTGTTCCTGTCCGGAGTGATTCTCATGACTCCACTCTCCCTAATCTTCCTGGGAGAGGGAGGAGGAGGGGCAGGCGGTGTGAGGCCTGTATGAGGGCCGTGTACAGACCGGCCCAGGAATGTCCCTGCAGGAAAAGTGAGGGGAGACGGGACCTCCAACACCAATAACAGGACCTCCTCACCGGGGGCTCCGGACAGGACTGCTGGATGTTGTAGTTCTACTCCAGACTTCATACTGAAGGATTTGATCCTGATTGGAAGTTGTGTGAGATTTAGGAACTACTCCTAGGAGCTTGTGTGAGATACATGGACCACTTCTAGGACCTTCTGTGGGATCTGTGACCACTTCTAGGACCTTCTCTGGGACCTGTGACCACTTCTAGGACCTTCTCTGGGACCTGTGACCACTTCTAGGACCTTCTCGGGGATCTGTGACCTCTCCTAGGATCTTCTCTGGGATCTGTGACCTCTCCTAGGATCTTCTCCGGGATCTGTGACCTCTCCGGGATCTGTGACCTCTCCTAGGATCTTCTCCGGGATCTGTGACCGCTCCTAGGATCTTGTGCAAGATCTGTGACCTCTCCTAGGATCTTCTTCAGGATCTGGGACCTCTCCCAGGATCTTCTCCGGAACCTGTGACCTCTCCCAGGATCTTCTCCGGGACCTGTGACCTCTCCTAGGATCTTCTCCGGGATCTGTGACCTCTCCGGGATCTGTGACCTCTCCTAGGATCTTCTCCGGGATCTGTGACCTCTCCGGGATCTGTGACCTCTCCTAGGATCTTCTCCGGGATCTGTGACCTCTCCTAGGATCTTCTCCGGGATCTGTGAACTCTCCTAGGACCTTGTACGTGATCTTTGACCTCTCCTAGGATCTTGTGCAGGAACTGGTGGCCTGTCTTTGGATTGTGTGCAGGACCTGGTGGATTTTACGCTTCCACCATCCTTGAAGACCTGTCCTCTCCACATTGGACCTCTGACTTCCTTTGGAGGTCTCTGCAGATTTCCTGTTTCCGTCACTCCGGCCTCGCCACCTTTTTCTGGGTCGTTTTCCGGAATTTTCCCCTTTTGGATCGGATGGCCAAGACGGGCGCTCTGGATGAGATTTCGGCGGAGCTGCGGGCGCACTGCCCACAATGCCAGGAGATGTTCTCGGACCCCCGAGTCCTGCCCTGCCTGCATACGCTCTGCATGGACTGCCTGAGCAAGCTGGAGCCCTTCACCACCCTGGAGAGGGGGCAGAAGCTGAGGAGCCTCCTGTGCCCGCTGTGTGATTGCGAGGTGGCGCTGCCAGCGGGGGGCGTGCAGGAGTTCTTGCCCGACATGCTGGCGCAGACCGAGGTGCTGCGTGTGCGGCTGCGGAGCGGGGGGCACCAGATGCCGTGTGACCTCTGCGCGGACGGGAAGGGCGAGAGACGGTGCCAGGAGTGCAAGATGAACATGTACGAGGCACACAGGTGAGGACATGGGCCGCGGGCAGGGCAGCCATCAGAAATTTCGGGGCCCCTTACACAGCTTTAGGCCTGGGCCCCCCGCACCGCCGCCACACTGAGCCAGTCACATTAGTCTCTGCACAGAGGAGCTTACACTCTAAAATTTTGGGTATTGTAGTTTTTTGAGGTTTCGCGCAATTTTAAGGCTTAACATGTTTGCTGTCTTTTTACCCGACGTGACCCCGCCTTTTATATTTTACCAAAAAATTGGGTAATAATAAATGTTTTCTAATTTATTATAGGGGAACAGTTTAAAAAAAAAAAAATTTGGTAATATTAAATACCACCAAACGAAAGCTCT